TGGGTTCGCAAGGCTATGCTTATGAGGGCAGTTCATCCACCTCAGTATTTTATGATCCTAATGGATCGAAAAAAAGTGTAAGCTAGAGGGTTGCAGCGATGACGAGAGAGATAGAAGAGATGATAAATGTTGAAAATGAGATGCAGGCAGAGCCGTTATCCTATAGAGATGAAAATCAAAAGAAGAAAGAACAATATCAAGAGCAGTCACATGCTTCACAAGATAGTCAGGACACGAAGGAGGATTAATACTCTTGTTTATTTGATGAACTTATAATGAACTTATTGTAAACTTAATTGGTTTGATTTATTGTTTGGCTATGAACTTATTATGAGTTGATTTGCTTTGATGAATATATTTGTGATAATTATTGTGATTGATTATAGTGGCGCGTTGCTCATATTTATAAAATTGGTTATATTTTCTATGCTTGTTCAGAGTTTAGGATGAAAATCAGTAAAATAGATGGGAGGCTGTCAATTTTTTTTTCAAATGCTACAGGTTTCCGGTGGCAAACCAGCAGTTTGGCCGCCGAAAATTTCGATACCGGACCGCTAATATCAGCCTTCGGAAGATTACTATTACCGCCGGTAGTTTCCTACTTACCGACATTTTTCGGTGGTTCTTCGGTGATACGCCGGCAGTGGTGCCACCGATAATTCCTTCGGTTATAAACGCCGATAAACCGCCGACGTGTTACCGACGATATGCCGGCAGTTTGGCCGCCGAAAAAAATCTGACTAAACCAGCGGTTAAACAGCCGATATGTCGCCGGTAAATAACCAGCGGTCACCGGCGTTATGACCGCTAGAAAACTACCTGCGGTACAGTCCGCCGGTAAACCGTCGGTGCGTAAAACCGTTGGAAACAATTTCCTACGCGGTTTTTACAAGCAAATTTTAAACCGCCGCAAAGCCGCCGATTTTTTCCAAAATCGCCGGAAAACTTACGATAATCTCTGGAACAAGCCACCGGTACTAAGTGATTTTCCTGTAGTGTATTATCATTGTTCAACTAATAATTTATAATCATCTCTACTCTCTATCACTTATGTAATCTCTCTAATGATAATTAAATAATTATTCTCAATTATATAAATGAAAATTTATATACATACCACTTTATACCATCCTATTTATATATCTAACACTCAAAACATTAATATTATATATACCACTCTATATTATTTTAATATCAAATATTTCACTCCTATTTCCTTTCTACCACTCATATATTTCATTTCTACCACTCACATTTGACATAAAAATGAACCTTGGTGGTATTTATGTAATATTAAAGTTTTAGATGTTAAATATGTAAATAAAATATTATATGGTGGTATGTATGTAAAGCTTGTGTATGCATTGTGTATATGAGTTTCACTTAATTGACCTAAATATTAAAAAAAAATATCAGCCAGGTAGAAAAAATATTTGAAAATTGAAAACAGATATAATAATGCTCAGCTTCTTCTACATTTATATTGTCACTCAAAATCAATTATAATAGCATGCACGCAAGCAAAATTATAAAGAAAATGGTATAAAATATTATATTAAATGAGTTAAACTCTAAATAAGTCTAAATTAACCAAGAATTAATTACTACTATGAATGAATGAGAATCATCTCAAGTAGACACACTATGTTGATAAATTTTGTGGGTTCCACCTCAATGGAACCAAATATAACAACATTTGCATACAAAGTTAACTAATAAAAAAATATTGGCAAATTTAACTTAAAATTTTAAGCACAAGCATTTCGTAATTTAAGATTTCATTTGAGATGAGTTTCTTACTGCTTCTTAAAATAATTTTTTATTATAAGAATTTTTTACTAGAAAATTATTTTAGAAATCATAAAAAAGTTATTGCAAATGAAGCTTAAGCCTACCAAATGAGTAAAAATATTTTGTGCATGAAAATTAAGCTTCTGTAAACTTTTTTTTTTTTTTTTAAAGAAGCAATACATTAGAAACTATTCGGGATCACGAAACAATAGAGCAGCATAAATAAATAGAAGTGTAGACTAAAATGAAATAGGGTGTAAATGAAATAGAATATATTTAAAAATTAAAATTAATATGTTATCGAAAATTAATTTGATCGAACACGAATCTGAAGGCATATTCAAGTTGGAAATCCAACCACATAATATGCTCTATATTTTCTATATTGAACAAATACATTCCCCAAGGAAGGACATCATTTATATTTTGTTGTCAATAACAAATATTAGTGGTAACAACAGTGGGCAGTGGCCTATAGTTAGCGGCAAGCGGCAGGCAGTGGTCAACAGTGGCGGCAACTCTGATAGAGATTTAAAGTATATTTAAAAATCAGTCAAATTTGTCCATTTCTAAATACAACAAAATTAAATTAGAAAGTGAGTTTCAAGTATTTTAAAAATTTTACTATGTATTGTTTTTACTTAAAATCAAACATCCATATTTTCAAACCATTTGCATTTAAAATACTTTAGTTATGTGCTAGATAATTTACATCTATAGAGTTGGTATTTTATATCTATAACTTTTGATAAAAAATTTAGCACACACATGAGATAAGAAAATTTTTACCTGAAAAACCCGAAAAGAGAAAAAATCATAAGGCTTGGCTCAGTTACAATAATCCACTGTAGAGTAAGATATACAAAAATTCTCTCTTCCTTACAATTAAAGAAGAAAGGATTATGCTATTCTCAAGAGCAAAACCAGCCCTTCTTTGGAGGGTGTGCAAACTTTTATATATGACATAATTCAAGAAAAAAGTTTATATATCATTATAATCGAAGAATTGAACAATGCTTATATACAAGCTTCTCAATCTATTTTGTATTTTTGATAATGTTGCATTACTAGTTTCAAATATGTCTTTTGATTTCTATCCAACTCGTTGACATCATATCCTCAAATCGAAGGTTGAAGCTCTGGATAAGCAAGAAGATTGTCGCTATAAATCTCTACATCTTCTTTCCTCTTCAAATATTGATCCATTTACTAAACTCTAAACATAGAAAAAACCTTAATTTAACATAAATAATTGGAATCTCTAACCGAATATTTATAACACGAATAATAATAATAATATGAATTGAATAAAAAAAGATTAAAAAAAGTGCAAGCAATTATGAATAATTTTGTACTTTATTAAAAATAATTTGAAAATTAATAGGACGAAATAACAATTCTTTATGCTATTACCTCAAAAGAATACTTCTGAATTATTTATGCAGAGAGAAAAAAAAAATTATATCAAACTATAACCTTCTTAAAAAGTTTGAATTTTTTTTCCCTCAAAATATGAGCAAAATGGCATATGAGGGTAAGATTAACTGAAAAATAATTATTATTTATAAAATTATAATTTTAAGGGTGGGAAGGGATAGTAAAAACTCAACAATAGGGTTATATCCTAATAGGAATTTGGCGATGATGATTATCGGTTGTAATAGCCATAAAATATAAGAGAGTTCAGAATCTAATGTGCTCTATCTTACGATCCGCATTGATTCTCTTTGTTATGAAACATTTGCTTAGCATTAAGTGCCTTAATGATGTCAGAATTAAGTAATTTTGGGCTCATTGAATTCGTCTTGTTGAGCCGGTCAATTTGACCATAAGCATGTTATAATTCAAAGCTGTTTGGTCCATCAATTTATATTCAGAAGCTTACAAATATATTTCAAATGTTTAATTCAAGCTCGTTTGGAGTCAGATCAAATCATTTCTAGCATTGATATGCTCATTATAATGAGACTTTCGGTTCAACTATAAATTTGCTAAAATCAAAATTTGAACAATCCTTAATTTAATTCAAATATTATCTTGAGATTATCAAATAAATATTCTTAAAGTATCAACTTTATACATTTTTACTCCAAATCAAGCAACATATTAAAAAAATCACATAGAGGCCCATTTATTGAGTGCATTACAAGAATCCACTTAAGAAACCATGCATGAAATTTTTGAAGTGTAGGCCACATGGGATATATTGCTCAGCAGTCACATACACACAAAAAAACAAAAAAGCCTAAATCTAATGAAAACAATCTACCACCATTACTCTGATTAAGGCTTCGTTTGGGATTACTTTCTTACTGCTTCTTAAAATAATTTTTTAGTACAATAAATAAAAATTTATACTAAAAAGCTACTTTAAGAATCAATAAAAAAACCGTCCCAAACGAAGCCTAAGTGAAGGTGGAAGAAAAAGAGGCTACCAAAATAATTTATATAATTAGAATTTAAAGTAGTTCAAATATTTATCAATGATTTATAATTGTTTTAAATCTTAATCACTCTAAACTTTTATTAAATGATAAAATTGTACAATAATAAATTACTCTATTCTTTTAAATGGATATGAATCCCTCTCTCTAAATCTCATATGTAAAATTCACCATACATTCATTATTCTGCAATTATTATCCTACAATCATTATTCATTATTAAATAGTCATTTATGATGATCTACTGCCCAAATAAAATTTTAAAATAACTCAATAATTTTATTTTTGATCATTTTCTTACACATACTTACCATCCATCTAACTTGGGATCCGCATAATTTTTTTTATAAAAATGATTATAAAACTATTATAGAAAATTTACTTTTTAAAAAAATATTATAGAAAACAGCTTCTTAATACACATTTTTTTAAAAATAATAAAAAAATAATGATCAAACACATTATAATTGTGAACTGAAAAACAAAACACAACAATAAGAAAATTATCCCAAATAAAATCTTAAGCTTCGTTCGGGACGGTTTTCTTAATGCATCTTAAAACAACAATAAGAAAATTTTATTTGTTGTACTAAAAAGCTGCTTTAAGAAATAGCAAGAAAGCCATCCCAAACGAAGCCTTAGGCTTCATTTGTGACAGCTTTCTTACTGTTTTTTAAAGCACCTTTTTAGCATTCCCAAACGTAGCCTTAATGAAAAATCTAAGACTTGCAATGCCCCCTCCTCACTACATTACACAACTTCATATATTTATGGTTAAATTCAACACCCTGAAATGATTCTGATTGTTGTGTGCACAATTATGATAATCTTTCAACTCAAGAACACGACAGACTTCTATAAAATGCCAATGCTACAATCTGAACATATAAGAAAGCTTTAATGACTGTTTTCCATGCGCTACAAATGCTAGTTCTCAATAACCTTTGGTGAGCTCCATAGAGAAAGAATCTACATTCTACAAAGGAACTGCCTGAGACTTTGTTTTGTACTAAATAATTTGACTGCTCATCATTTTCATAAACTCCGTGTTCGTTGCAGGAAACTTACCTCACACGCCTGCATCTGTCACAAGCTTGCTTAGGAGTTGGTGCATCGCCATTCAGCTTTTGCTTCCGCATCTTCGGCAGATCAATCTCCAGGACATCTTTCAAAGCCTTTGATGCTTCACTAAGCTGTTCATGACTAAAAATGAGAGAAAATTTGGAATTAGAAATATGAAACGTGAATGCTATATTTGTTTAGTAAGATCCATTGAATGCTAAATAGTTTGTCGTATGAAGAATGGTGATACAAATATAATTTTCGCTCACCTAAATAAATTTTATTAAGCGCTGCCCTTAATAATAGGGGTGTCAATATTTGACACGACATGAAAATCCGACTCAAATCCGACACAGAAATTTTGAGTTCGGGTTGACCCAAACCCGAACCGGGCTGGGTTAAGGTTTTCAACCCGTTTCAAAAATCAGGTCGGGTCCAGGTTGACCTGGAAACCTGAGAATGACCCGGATTGACCCGCTGACCGCGTGACTAAGTTGTCCATGTGACTGCAGCTGCCCGAGGCCAATCACACGTCAAGATTCGCGCGTCACGTCTGCGTCAGTCTGCCTGTCGCGCTGCGCTGCTGACCCGCATGCCCCCCGCATCGCGTCCCGAGATATGAAGCTACCAGCCACTGCTCTCGCTCCACCGTTGTCGTGTCCGTAGTCGGGTGGGTTGACCCGAACCCGAAGAGAGTCGGATTCAGATCCGAAAAACCGACACATTTGCAAAAACTAGTCGGGTTCGGATTGACTCAAATAGTGTTGGATCAATTTCGAGTTCAATCCAAATACGACCCATGATCCAGCATTGATACGCCTACTTAATAAAAACAAAAACCACCTCCTTAGATGGTGAGACTTTGATATATCTTGAATAATATTCCTCTTTTATATTTATTTATTTTTAGTTCTATTAAATATTTGAGCAGCTTGAAATATTCGGCCACAAATGATTGATTTTCTTGTTTGAGCGATCTGTCATTTCACACAGTCGTCAGATCTCAGATCCGTTGTGTTGTCACCTCCATCGAAAATGGCGACATCCCAACTGTAAAAGCAACGTCGCAGATCTTGAGATCTTCTGTCTGCCGTGGTCACAAAACGCACTGACCTTTCCAGACTCTTGTTTTTGGGTGGGGAGCGAAATTCACTTTTCCCAATTCTTAAGAAAGGTGCGCCGATTTCATCAAATCGATCCTGCGGCGATCAAGGTGGGCTTCACGTGGCGCGATACTACTTGTTTGCACATACAGAACTACGTCCGCACTCGGCACCCAATAAAAGTTCCTTGTTTTTGGGTGGGGGGCGAAATTCACTTTTCCCAATTCTTAAGAAAGGTGCGCCGATTTCATCAAATCGATCCTGCGGCAAGCCGCCTCAAGAATTCTTATCGAGGAAACCAGCCCATCGTCGCCAATCTCGTCCTGCCCGGATTTGGCGTGTGCCCAAAGCCAGAGCTCGTAAGCATTGGCCGCATGCCCTGTCGTCTATGCCAGATCCTACAGATTTTGATGTACCTTTCACCTGAGAAATATGCGAGATGCGGCAAATCTTCAAACCTCAACGACCTTCCAGAACATCTTCTGGATGCATCTTGGTCCAACATTACCGATTACCACCTCATGCTACTATTCTTCTCCTTTTGCAGTATGCAATCACTCAACAAACGTCATTTTCGCAATCAAACCTTAGGGCCTGATCCCTAGCCAAGCCGAACGCGAATTGCTCCAGCTATCTTCCAAGAAAAATCCTTCGAACCCCTAGCCACGACACCATCGCTCGCAGCTTTTCCAATTTCCTGCAATTTCTTTAAGGATTTCATAAGTGGATATCAAGAAATCCCTATCTACCGGGTGTGTCCCGTCCAAATTTTCGCGCTCAAGAAACGCAATCATCGTCCAAGATCCGACGAACTGGACAACTCAGCCACCGCCCTGATCCGGCGAGTATCCCATCGCCGACGCTAGTTCCCGCAAATCCTGCCACCACTCGCAACTATCTGCACACATATAGATCGACTGGCCACCTACCGACCTACGGCTTGTGCTGAGCTCGACCCAACACTCTCCAGCTATCAGAACAATTATTACGTCCTCCGACCGGACTTAGAGGAACGTCCGGTCGGAGGCAAATTCCCGCCAAAAAACGAGTTGTATCGAGCAATACCAAACAATAACAAAAAATATCATCATTTGAAGACCCAATACCGAGTTATACCGGGCTTTACCGAGCAAATACCGAGTTATACCAAAGTTGTACCGAGTTTTTCCCAGAAAAACTCGGTACAACTCGGTATTTCTCGGTACAGCTCGGTATAACTCGGTATTGGTCTTCATAGAACGGTATTCTTCATTATTATCAAATAATAACTAGTTGTACCGAACAAATACCTAATTTTTGGATGGGAAATTGCCTCCGACCGGACGTTCCTCTGTGCACCGAACGTAATAAAAGTTCCCAGCTATCACTCTTGCACTATTGCATCGTCAAGAAATAACCTCTTCCAATTCTATGATTCCACCGAAACGAGCTTCTTTGATTTCGATCGATCCCAACGATACTTCCTCTTTAATTCAGCTGCTCCACATATAAACTCCATGAACGATTCAAGAATCATTACCATATGGGTACAGTCCTTAAACCGTAAAAATGGCTTGCCATAGAGTTTATTGAGCAGTCGAATGCAAAATTAGTCATGGCAAGACGATAGGTGCACCATATTGATCTATTGATCTTGGAGATCAATTTGTACTAAGGTTTCGTTTGAGACGGCTTTCTTAATGCTTCTTAAATCAACCTTTTAGTATAAATTTTTTAATTTTGTACTAGAAAACTGCTTTAAAAAGTACAAGGCTTTGTTTAGGACGGCTTTCTTCTGCTTCTTATGTGGATCACAATAATGTAAAGCCGTTCGCTAAAGAAACCGTAGAAGATGCGAATAACCAATTTATAGTGGTATTACAACAACCAGCACACAAGACTGATCCACACGAGCTATGATCATCATATTCATGGCCACCAACAGAAGAAATTGAAGAATTATCGAGCTTCCATTGGTCCACATTTGCTTTTGTGACTTCAAGGTTCGCCTAATGCACAATGATCCGCTCGAGCAATTGTGGTTGAATAATCGGCCATCCCTCCTTCGGAATGACTCGAATCCAAATTTGAGGATAAGATCATTGTGAGAGGGGAAGTAATAATGTGAATCCAGATTGTTGTTGAACTTGTGATTAATAGAGGATTAATTAGCAAGAGTGTTTAGGTTAATATCCTAAAAGCCTATAAATATCCCAATTAGGAAGGAGGGGTAAAAATAGATGAATAATGTTCCCCCTTCTATATTTGTTCGTTTTTTTTTGTTCTTTCTTTGAGAGTTTGAGCAGCTCAAAATGCCACTGATACTCATTGGGTCCTATAAGATTTCCTTGCATAAAAACTCAACTTCAAGGCAAAAATGATAGAAAAAAAAATCTATCAGCTCAATACCAAAAACAAATGAAATCAAAAAGAATGAGAAGAAAAAACAATGGTCTTCTGATCTAACTTAGAACCCTTCTCTTCCAGATCTAACATAGAAAAAACATCATAGAAAGCAATGGCATAGATAATTCCATCATTTTGTTGTAAGTAATTAAGAAACTAATATTGATTTTAATCCTTAACAAATATAATAATTTCATTTTTACACTAAAAACAAGTGAAATCATTATTTCCTTTAGCATGTTTTCATGTAATGACAACCAAATAAGCCCTAAGAGCAGTGGAGACTACAATATATTAAGGGCTTATTTGGTTGTTTAGCAGATAGAAAGCATTGATGCAGCAACCACCTGCACAGGAGAAAAACCACAAGAAGCAGAAAAGAAAAGCAAAACAGAGGAGATTGTCTAAGGAGTTTCTATCTTCTTCTCTACCCATTTCGTAAAACAGAAAAGCATATATGAGGATGCAGTGGCTATCCTTCATACTACAACTGGAGTAGCAAAAACTAAGGAAGGAAAAAGTGTCTATAAGCATAAATAGAAAAACAGTTAGCTACAGGTAGTAGTGGAGATAAAACCAAATATTATGTATAAGTCACCCGCATAGGTAGACCGCATCAGGTCTCCCCTGCTTCAGAAAAACTCATCTCCGATGAGAGGGCAGTGGACGATTCTTCATCCGGAGGGTGATAGGGATATATATATGTGACGTTGAATGTGGCCGAGGTAGTGATATCCTTAGGGAGATCAATGATATATGCATTGTCATTGATCTTTCGCAGTACGGGATAAGGACCAAATTTTTTTGGGTTAAGCTTGGGACAAGGCCCGGTGGGAAAACGGTCCTTACGGAATCTGAGCATAACCAGTTCACCTGGTTTAAAATCTACTTGTCTGCGATGCTTGTCCCGTTCTGCTTTGTATTTAGTGTTGCTTTCTAGTAGCTTGTCTTGAACCTCTTTTAGCACATTGGAGAATTGTTCAGCACTCTGAGTTGCAACATAACTCTTGCACTTGGGTAGGACGGCCAAGTCGACAATATGGTTTGGCATTTTGGTGTACACAATGCTGAACGGGCAAAGTCCCGTTGATTGATTAGGCATAGAATTAAAGGCGAATTCTGCTTGTCCGAGGAATTCCTCCCACTATTTTGGGTGATCCCGTACAAGGCATCTCAGCATGCTCCCAAGTGTTCTATTGATTACTCGGTCTGGCCGTCTGTTTGAGGATGATAGGCGGAGCTCAACTTCAAATCCGTTTGGAACCTCTTCCATAACTCCCGCCAAAAATGACTTACAAACTTGACATCCTGATCTGAGGTAAGACTGCGGGGAATCCCGTGCAAACGAACAATCTCCTTAAAGAAAAGCTTGGCGAAGTGAAGGGCATCGAAAGTCTTCTTACAAGCAACAAAGTGGGCCATCTTCGAGAACCTGTCGACGACAACCATAATGGAGTCGGATCCCCGTTTAGTCCGTGGCAACCCGAGAACAAAGTCAAGGCTCAAATCTTCCCAAATGGAGTCAGGGACCGGTAAAGGCATATACAGGCCGGTATTCTGAGCATTGCCTTTGTACTGCTGGCAAACCGAAAAGAGAGCCACGAATTTGGAAACATCACGCCTCAGGTGCGGCCAAAAAACTGGCATTGCAAT